CTCCTACTATTGTTCCTGAGGGGTTTATCTGTCCTGAATTCCATGTGTTGACAGTGCTCATCTGTACCAATGTGTGGTCTGTGTTCTAGCTGGATTTGTAAAGTAGAACTAGGTCACGGTCGTGGGGGTTAAGGAAGCATTCAGGAACTAGAGGAATGATGTGTATTTCATCAGTGCTATACTGTACCCTGGTTGAGTTGTCCCTTCCTTGTAACCCTTCTGTGGGTGAGGAGGAGGGGAGGGATGGTCAATTGACTACAGATGGGCTTTGGGTCTCTATTCCAACCTCCCTCTTTCACATCGATGTAATTGATGGTTTTGGATCTTTTGATACCTGATACCCTATCCCATCGACACCTCACGATCACACAGGCTGGTGTGCTTCTTCCATGTGGGCTTATTTGTGTCCACAATGTCTTATGGTCACTGCTTCTCCAACACATCTCCCTGCTAGGGAGTCTACCCACTTAATGCTGGGTTTCATCCAGTCATTTCCCATTCACTCAGTGCCATGCAGTAGCTACTCTTGTTGCTGAGGTAGTGCTCTGGGCCTGTGGCCAGCTTCCTCTGCCAGCTTCCAGCGGTCACTTTACCTTTCTGTGCCGGTTCCTCAACTGTAAAGTGAATGTGAAGAGTATCTCTTCTGGCTGTTGAGGATTCGGTACATATTGTGTATCGATTTGTTGTACCGTGGTGACTCTCCTGCCCTTATCATGGTGGAAGCTCTGCCCCAGGTACTTTAAGTGCCAGCAGGCTAACCCATTTACCCATGGTGGACAGACTTCAGCAGAATGGCCACACTGAGAGAGACTGGGAAGAAATGCCTGGTAGTCTGCCTCTGAAAATAAGCCAGTGAGGACCCGGTGGAGCACCACAGGATATTGTCAGGTGTCGTGCTCCAAGGTGAACCCTGTGGGATGGAAGGCACTTAAAGAACAAGAATGGGCTCGAGCAAACCAGTGATCGCAAACATGGCAGAGCCCCAAAGAACTTCATCTTGTACACGGGACCACTGTGAGTCCAGGTCTGCTGGATGGCAGCTCACAAGCACGCACAGAGAGTGCTTCACCTACAGCGAGTGCTCCTCAGATTCCCAGTGGACAGTCTTGGGGGTACGAGGGGGTCTGTTGCCCCCCCAGTAAAAGGGAAAAAAGCTCTGCCCATAGTACACGTTTTTCCAGCGAGCCAAGCCTTGAGCAACTTGCTCTGAGTTCATGCACCCAGTGGCATTGCCTGGGAAGGTTCTCTGTGGTCACAGTGAATATCTTCATAAAAGCAGTTTCACTTGAACCTCGTTTTTGGTGAAGTCCGATTTAAGAAAATAGCATGCAGCTGTGAAATTTTGTTTCCTGCTTGGGAAAAGTGCTACAGAAAGTGTTGGGATGTTGAACACAGCTTACAAGGACAGCACCGTGGGGAAAGCCCAACTGTACAAGTGGTTTTCTCTGTTCCAAAAAGGTGAAATGTGGACTGATGACGAACCTTGTTCTGGACATCTGTCAGCTTACCGAACGGATGAAAATGTGGACAAAATTTCACGCACTTGTGCTCACAGACTGATGACGAACCATTGAAGAGATGGGAAAGTTGTCTGGACTATCTTGGAGCTCAGGTCACACATTTTAATGGAAGCTTTGGGAATGAGAAGGGTTGCGGTGAAATTTGTGCCTGGGGTTCTGACCAGGAAAAAGAGCGTTGACTGGAAACATGCCGTGCTTTGAAAGAACAGCTCCAAAGTGACCCAGACTTTCCCCCCAAGGTCATTACATGTGACAGACATGGTGCTATTCTTAAAACCCTGAAAGCAAACATCAATCAAGCCAGTGGAAGATGCCATCCTCACCTCACCCCCCAAAAAGCTCATCAAGTGAAATCAAAGATCAAGAAGATGCTCATTTGTTTTTCTGATGTGAGAGGAGAGTGTATTTGGAGTTCGTTCCACCAGGTCACACTGTTAATCAAGCTTTCTATTTAGAGGTTCTGAAAAGATTGCATAAGAGTGGGGGTTGGGGAGGGGAGGCCTGATTTGTGCCAGACAGGGACTGGTTTGGCTGCACAGCAATGCACCTGCTCTCACAGCCATCTCAGTGCACCAGTTTGGGCAAAAAAACGGCATGCCTCTCTTGCACCTCGCCTGACTCACCTAACCTGGCTCCCTGTGACTTCTGTTTGTTTTTCCACGAATGAAAAGGACGTGAAAGGACAGTGATTTGGTGAAGTAGAAGAGGTGAAGCAAAGAAAGAGGGAGGTGCAGTTAGCCATCCAAACAGATGAGTTTGAAAAATGTTTCCAAGAATGGAATCTGAGATTTCACAAATGTACTAAATGTAATGGAGAGTACTTTGTAGGTGATAAAGTTGTTTTGTAAAAAAAATTAAATACATAGCTTTGGGGGGAGGGCGTGGACTCCGATTATTTCTTCTTCTTCTTCTTCTTCTTTTTGGATGCCCCCTCATAACTCAGATGTTTTGGTGGAAAGAGAGGTGGCTATCTTCTCACCACCCACACACAGTCTTCCCTGAAAAAACAGTGCAGATCAGGACTCTGCTGCTGCTCGAATTGTTTGGCCTTCTGCTAGTTGCAGTCATTTTATAATTATGTAACTGGCTTACATTGACAGAGCTTAATAGAAAAATCATATAAGTGGGAAAATAGTCGGACTTGTAATGAGTCGTAGCTTGAGGAGAAAAGATTTACCAGCCCTCATGGATGTCTATCTTAATGGAAGGACAAGTCCTGTGTCGTCCAGGGACCCCATGCTGGTCAGTGCGCATCGTGTGTGTGCACCTGCCAGCCAGACTTGGATGAGGTCGCCGCTGGTTCCTGGAAATGCAGGGCTGGGAGAGGGGAGGGCGTGGTTAGACATTCTTGGGTAGAAAAGCCAGTCGGAGGGACTGGTGAGTCATAGATTTCCATGATGATCATACTGGCTCTGCTGAATGTGTGCTGCAGGGCAATCTCTGAGTATACTAATTCCAGGAGAGCAGTAATAAATTGTGAACCCCAAAGCATATCTTCCATGACTTCCGATGACCCGTGATCTTAACCTTGGAGTCAATCTGACGTGTTTTGGGTTTGGGCCGGCTTTTCTCCTGTTGAATGACAGTCTGTGTTCGTAATCATGGTTTCACGTGCCGACCGGGGCTCTCCCATGTTAAGCTATCAGGGTGAAAATAAATGTGGCCCGAAACCCACTGCCTCGTTAGTTCTGTCCCTTTGCTCTTGGGAATAGGGTTGCGTCTTCCTTTCTAGATGTATCGGGGAAGCTGCTGCATTCTGTGCCCTGCGGCCCGGGGGCAGTGCCGCTTGTCCAAAGACGAGTGTCTCTTGGATTGTGTCCCCCAGACACAATTCTGTCCACACTGACCCTTGTGTACACCTCAATGGAGACCCTTTCATTACCATTGGCTCTTCCTTGTAGAATTTGCCTCTAAGCGTTTTTTAGTGAAGTGATCGGAGAATTTTGGAAATTGTCCTCAAACTGCGTTCCGCTAAATATTCTAGGGAAACGTCTTGGCACGGCACACTTTGCTAATGCTGGTGACATCATTATGGGAGCTATAGATTTCTTGGGTGTGTAAAACGATTGCATATTCATGAACATCTTCCATCCCGAAATATTTGTAAATAACTTGGCAATTTTTTCCTAGGGTGGCCTATTAAAAATGATTAGATCTTTAATTGTTCACACAGAAAGGATGGGGGCTTACAGAGCCACCCTCCCCCCCTTGATAGAGCAACATTTCTGTGCTTAAGCAGGTTGGAATTTGAACGCACACAAGTCGCCTTCCTTAAGCGAAGTATAAGAGATGCTATTTTCCCATGAAGAATGATTCAAGTTTGAAAATGTCAATAGATGCAAAAAGCCACCCCGGCGTCTTGCTCTCTCGGAAGAAAGTCGAGAAGGAATGACATCGTCAGTGTAACTGTCACCAGATGAAGTGGAATCAGACTGTCAGGCCTGGATCTATGAAACCCTTGCCAAAGTAGGGCCTCATTTACACATACAGATCTTCCTGCCCTTCGCGGAGGAAAGCATCTGTGGCAGTTTAGATGTTTGTGCGTTTGCCAAAGATCTTTCACTCTGAATAACGTAAATGTCATGTCTGTTGTTTAGCTCCAATTCAGCCGAGTAGTTTTAAAAGGAAATATTTGGGGGGAGGGGGCAGGGACGGGGAGGAAGAAGGTTGGGAAGCTCCGCTGGGTTGGGTGTGGCACTTTGGTGCCAAAATTCAAAGCATACTTTTTGGGGTCCGGGTCCGTAAACGTACAACGTGCTTTGGGGCTCAGGGTCTGGCCGCGTCGTTTTGAGATGAGAGTGGCACGCTGTGATCAATTGGAACGTGGAGACTTCCTGAGTCTCTACCTAGTCTGTCAGCACCCAAACCCCAGATAATTCGGCCCCACTGACAGTTTGGCACCACAGAGACACAGCTGTCTTGAACTGCAATTTTGAACACTTCAAGAGAGATGGCATTGTCCTGGAAGCTGGCTGGAACAGTGGTTTCTCTCCTTCCCTCGCTCGCTGTGTATGAACAAATGCTTAGGTGGACTTCAAAGGTTGGAGACACAGTGTAATTCCTCTAAGTTCAAGCTGGAGCCCATTGAATAGCCGTGAATACAACAGAACCCTAGGTCCTGATCACATTGTTGGCAGGTGCCTTTGGCAAGTTCAGACTTTGAGTTGAGTGTGCAGTGGTAATTTAGCAATGTAAATTGCCTGGAATATGAAAAACGGGGATCCTCTACCTGCCTCTTTGAAAAGCCATATTGACAGACTTACAGCCGTGCAGACTCACAAGGAGCTCCTGGTGTAGCATGCTTTCCTGGAGAACACCTGTTTGAGGTGATTCAGTGGTTATCCCTCTTTGCAAAAAAAAATAAATAAAATCAAATGTTTGCCTTAAATACTCCCTTATTAGCCGGTGACATTTGTCTTAGAGACGTGACGTGTTCTGGGGCTGAATATTCTGAGTCTGAATATTCTCCTCTGTCCACAGATGACATGGAAGCCATTCCTGTGAAACAGTTTGTCAAACACATCGGTGAGCTCTATTCGAATAACCAGCACGGGTTCTCCGAGGATTTTGAGGTAAGTTTCAAACTGGAAATGAATGTCCAGGAGCCCACCTCTTATGTGTACAGAAATGGTTATAATTGTTCATCGGGTTTATTCCAAGCTTATGAAAGCAATAAGGAAGGGACACGGAGACACTTTTGTTTACACTTAGAATTTTTTTAAAATATATTTTTAATTGTTTTATTAGGGGCTCATACAACTCTTATCACAATCCATACATATATCAATTGTGTAAAGCATATGTGTACATTCGTTGCCCTCATCATTCTCAAAACATTTACTCTCCACCCATGCCCCTGGCATCAGCTCCTCATTTTTGCCCTACCCTCCCCGCTCCCCCCTCCCACATGAACTCTTGATAATTTTCAAATTATTATTTTGTCTTATCTTGCACTGTTCGACGTCTCCCTTCACCCACTTTTCTGTTGTCCTTCCCCCAGGGAGGAGGTTATATGTAGGTCCTTGTAATCAGTTCCCCCTTTCCAACCCACCCTCCCAGTATCGCCACTCACACCACTGGTCCTGAAGGGATCATCCGCCCTGGATTCTCTGTGTTTCCAGTTCCTGTCTGTCCCAGTGTACATCCTGTGGTCTAGCCAGACTTGCAAGGTGGAATTGGGATCATGATAATTGGGGGGGTGGGGGTGGCATTTAGGAACTAGAGGAAAGTCGTATGTTTCATCATTGCTGCATCGCACCCTGACGGGCTCATCTTGCACTTAGAATCTGAGCAGGCTTCTGCTCCCAGTAGAAAGTGAGTGAGCGGCGGTGCTTGTCCTGGGCAGACACAGCTCTGGAAGGTTGTGGCCATGACACTCGGCGTGAGCGGTGCAATTGTGGGGATGGCGCAGACTCAACAGCCCCCCACAACCGCTTGAGAGGAGAGGCAAATGGACAGCATGGTTCCTCCGCTGCCTCCTTCGCTTTCGTTCTAACGGGGTGGGGTCAGGATGCAGGCCCCTAATCGCACATCCCTTCTGGGACTCCCAGGGTGGGACGGAGACAGCAGTTGTAAAGTCTCAGGACTTGGACATTGGTTCTACCAATTGTGAACTTCATTATCCTTGGGCCAAGTGTGTAGTCCCAGGCCCCCCCGTTTCCTCTTTTATTTTTTTTAAGGCGCTCATGCCACCCCCATCCCAAAGTTGCTGGGGTCTGGTGGGGGACACTTTAATGGTGCTGGATTAGCTGTTTCGCCCCAATGCAAAGGTTGACTGCTGTTTTCACGCTCCCGATCCTTGGAGAGAAGACACGGGTTAACACAGCCTGGTGGTTGTAAGAGGAAACAAGGTAGAGAGTGGCTGGCACCACCCTGCCAGCTCTGGGTCCCGTGCCAGTTCAGCAGTGACAGGGTGTCAATGAGGAGCTATTAAACAGACTGCCCTTTTCGTCACTGACGCGCTTCACTAAGGCACATCTCTGGCAGCGAGGGCTGTGTGGAGGAGGCCAAGTTTGCATGGCAGTGCGGCTGTCTCCTAGCTCTGTGACGAAGTTGCTTCCTTTCTCTCATTCCCGCTGGAAAATGGGAGTGCTGGCGATGCTAACCTGCCCACCTCTTTTCACAAAACAGAAGCAGTCAAAGGGGGAAGCACCCTGGGGAGGAGCCACACAGCTGGGACTGGCAATTACCTTGCACGGACAATGAGAAGTAAAGACAGACCCAATGCGGCATTCTCTATGCAAATTTGGAATCCCCAAAGATGACCCTAAAGGCAATGATAGTGTCTCTTGTTGTAAACGAAATCCTTCTCTTCGCTTGCGGTTTGGCCTGGTGTGATGGTGGTGATGGTGGTGGTGGTGGTGGTGGTGTTGGGAGTAGACGGAGCAAACATCATAGAGAGAAGGCATCTTCCGGGTTAGTCTGCAAAGCCCTATGTTTTATAAAAGCCGTTAATGTAGCTCTTAGGTGCTTACCACCAAAAAAAAAAGAAAGAAAAAACAACAGTGTCAATTGGACTACAAAGACCATGGTTTAAGTGAAACATTTTACATTCATGAGGACAGCAAATGTGTGTGGTGTTAAAATGATTTAGTTCAATTGACTGTTAGCTGGATGACTGAGCAAGAATATTGAGGCATTTAACAATGTTGATGGTATTCAGGACAAACATTTATCCTCCAGAGAGCAGAATTTGATCAGGCTGATCAAATGCAACTCCGCTTTCTCAATTATTTATGATTTGAGACCCCAGTGCTATTCATCACAGCTGGTTTTGACACCATTTAATTATTCAAAATAATCAGCTACACCTCTGTAAACTTGAGCTGACTTAAAATGGGCTTTGCTGCGTCAGAATCACGCCTGGTTACAAATCCAAGGCTTCTGCGCCGTTTCTATCCTTTAAAAAAAAATGTTTTCTAAATCCTGTGGCTGAAAGCTTTCCTTCCCTCCCAGGTTGAACTTTACAGCATAAATGTTCTTAGTTGAGGGGGAGTGAAGCAGGGGGCGCTGAGGAACGGGGAACTGTGTTCACCTGCTATCTTGACACACTCCTGTTTGGACAGGTTTGGCCGTGGACCCTTTTGAATAGGAGGAAGAACCTTTGTCCTGATAAGAACAATGAGGCCGCGGCATAAAGGGAGGCACGTGGCAGTGGGAAGGCGCAGGCTTTTCCTGAGAAAGTGCCCTTCTCATTTGGAGACAATCCAGAGTCCTTGAAAGCAGTGGGATCATTGCTTCTTGGCCGCGCTGACAGGACAGCCAGAACACCGCTCAGAAGCAGGGATGGCCAGGCTTCATCTCCCATACTTTAGAAGCAAAGATGGTGAGACTCTGTCTGACATACTTTGGACATGTGCTCAGGAGAGACCCGTCCCTGGAGAAGGCCATCGTGCTTGGTAAAGGGACGGCTCTTCTCCCCGAGATGAGTGGACACGGTGGCTGCAGCCCTGGGCTCTAGCATGGGAACGCCGGTGAGGCTAGCGCAGGACCAGCAGGGCTCTGTTCTGGTGTGCACAGGGCAGCTGGATGGACCCGACACCACCACCACCACCACCGTTTCTTCTTGTCCGTGCTGCCGAACTGGAAAATTGGAAGCAGGCTATTTAGGAAAGGGCAGGAGGCATGCTCTTGGTCTATAGAGAAGGGATAGTGCAGGCTGACTGAGGAAGTTCAGAAGGGGTTTTATCCGTTTCGTTCTGTAAAAGCCCTCCAGGCCAGAGAGTAGTAACTTCAGCCCTGAGTTCCACTCCATTTATGTGACGGGGTGGCGGGCAGCGTTGAAAGAAGCCCAAGTAGCACGAACAGTTAAGGGCTCCTAACTGAGCACGCCTTGGTGCTTCAGAGGGAAGCCCTGGCAGTCTGCTTGTGGAGGGCCACAGCCCTGGCAACCCCTCGGAGGGGCAACCCGGGCCCACCGTGAACTGGAATCCACTGGACAGCCACGGATGACCTGGGCGGCGCTGTTTCCTTGTCCCAGTTTCACAGATGGCCCTTGAGCAAACCCAGGCCTTGGGCGGCTCCCTGCGGATGTGGCCTGGGGTTTGCGTGTGATGCAGGAGACTCTTGACTCCGGCTCCATTTTCAACCTTGATGCTCTCCAGACCCTCATTAAAGCCCTGACCCGTCATGAGCCAAAGCCAGAGAGGGCGGACCAAGATCACAGGGACAGCTGAAAACCAATGGTGTGGATGAGAGGCCAGTGGCTGCCAGAGAGCGAGACAGCAAGAGAGAGAGAGAGAAAGGGAAAGTGGGGAAGGAGGAGAGGCAGGCAGATCAAGGAGGATTATCCTTTAGAAGAGCATGCACACACATTATGTGAACCTGCAGTCTAGGTTCCTTCCAGACTGGTGAGTTTTAAAAACCGTACCAAAAAATCCCATTTTAAACCAAAACCCAAATCAAACTCACTACCTTGGAGTCGATTTCAACCCATAGTGACTGTAGACCCTATGCAGAGCCCGAATTGTCAAAACCCCGGTTTGAATCATAGAGCAATACCACTTAATGGTTGGGAAATAAGGTAATTCATCCAAAGGTGATGACTGCCTGCTGTTCTCAGGGCATAGAGCTGAAGCCGAGTCCTCGCCCGCTGCTGCTGGCCCAGTTCAGTGGGGGGACCGACCAGAGGGGGTCCACAGCGAGGCAGAAAGCGGGACAGAGGAGCAGCACTGCAGTGGGGCACGGCGCTGGCTGCGAAAGGCAACCAGCAAAGCTCCACATGCCACACCGTATTGCAGTCTTAGATGGGAAAGAAGAGATAGTCGCTGAATGGGTGTCATGTTTTCAGAACTTTACTGAGGTGAACGAGAACAATGAGTAGCTGGTAATTTTGAGCATCTGTCTAGAGGAGATGCTGAAAGCAAGATTTTTTGTGCCCAGGTCAGACACCTCTTGGAGGCGACCAACACCTGGCCCATCACCGGGAATGATGGTCGTCCTTGTCTCAGGATGGTGTCTGGGTACTCCGTTCCTCAACCTCACTCTCTGCCCGGGAGTGGTTTCCGAGAACCGGCGAATGGCCTCCTTTCTGGCCTCCACAGGCGTCACAAGGCACAGTGCTAGCAAACTGTCAAAGGGAGGCCACTCTAAGGCCGTGAGGTGACAACTAATAGGCAGGGACCAGGCACAGTGCAGAGATGAGGCCAGAGGGCCAGAGGTCCTTGACAAGATCCTAGGGGGATCCCCTCTGTTGCAATTAACTTCAGCTGAGCTAAATGTGTTCTTCTTAATTCAAGAGAACAAAGCACTGTCCACCTGAGCCCGTGCTGCCTAGGGACTGGCGGCCACAGTGGAAAGTTCCAGTGCTGCCAATGACATACAGCAGGGAGCCCCTGGACAGAGATGCAATGGTGCGTGAAGACTGTTGCCTACAAGCTAGCCGAAAATGGCCCCGGCAAGCCTCCTGAGTCTCTAACTAAATGCCAGTGAAAGAGAGGCTTTCACACTCCTCAGTATGGAGGAAACCGTTGGTGACATCACCATTTTTAGGAAATATGAGGGTGACTTTCTAGGAAGGACAGTGTCATTTTGGGTGAAGAAGATCAAAGGTATGGAGGGGTGAGGAGGAGAAGCCCTCTTAGCAGGTTAACTGCACTGAGAAACGAGCAAGGAGCCACACAGGCTTTCCAAAGCGCACAGGGTAGGACTGCCTGGCGTTGGTAAAGGAGTGGATGGAAGCTGGATGGGGCCTGAAGGAGTAAGGGAGAAACAAAGGCAAAGCAGCACTTGAAGACATTGGCCTAGTGGTAGTTTGGGGCCTGCGCAGGGCAGAAGGGAGACCACCCAGTGTAACCAGTCTCTCCCCAGCCAGCCCTGTGCCAGCGCGGAGAGCACTCGTGAATTGGACCCAGGGTCTTCCATTCCACCCCTCACAACTGCAGATGGCAGCGCTAAGAATGGGAGAGGCACTCGGTCACCAGGTTCAAAATGTCCTGTGATGCTGAGTAATGCGATTCTCACATCTTGTTTGGTCACTTGTTTCTCAGCCACGCCACAGAATGACAGGGCAGTTGGTCTCCCTGGTCTCGTCTGACAGCCTTGCTCCCTGCACATGGTCAGTTAGCCTATTTCTGGCCATCCCCCCAGGGCTCTGGGCATACACGCTTTTAGTGCTTTTGTTTGTTTCTTGAATTTTTATTTTATTGTAAACCTCTTGTTTTCCATTGGCACAGGAGCCCTGGCATAATGAGTTACAAGTTGGGCTGCTAACCCCAAGGTCAGCAGTTCGAAACCATGAGCCGCTCCCCGGGAGAAAGAAGAGGCTTTCTAGTCCTGTGAAAAGTTAGAGTCTCGGGAACTCACAGGGGCAGGTCTATCCTGCCCAGTACGGTCACTTTGAGTCAGAATTGACCCGACGGCAGAGTTTGGAGGGGGTTTGTTTTCTGTTGTCCGCCGGCTAGTACCTCAAATACCTGTTGGATTCTAGCTGTGTCGTGGAGACACTGAAATACACACACTTCAGTCCTAAAACTATTTATCAGCGTGCTGGATCAGGTAACTTGATCCACTTCATAAGCTGGTAGGGTTTTTAATGCCTGTTAAAATCACATGAACTTAAAAAAAAAATTTTTTTTAAATCACATGAACTTTAAAATGCCAGTTGTGATGGAGAAAAGCCACTTAGGGTCGCGTGATGTTTATAAGATGCTGACAGCTAATGAACCAGGCAGCACTGTGTGTGTGTGTGTGGGGGGGGGGGGTTTACAGCTGACCTTCTCATCCAGACAAAATCCCCAGGCCTGCGGAAAACCCCATGGGCTCTGATAAAATCAGAGTTAGCATTATTTATGACTCTTCTTTGTTTTCTGCCATTGGCATAATTGGAAAACCGAAATAGAGGCCAGGGTTGTAGATGACAGAGGTTGATGGGCCATACTGAATGGCAGCTTTCAACAGTGCAGACAGCTGCTCCCAAGCAGTCGTGGTCCATTGCGTTAGGTTATAATAGCCAGCCAACCTCAGCCCTTAGCTGGGGTGGTCAGATGTGAATAAGCAAAGCAACAATGAAACTAAGGGGGTTCAGCTACACCCTTGGATGTGTGTGTGCAGTGTCTGCCTGAAAAAGACCTGCCAAAGGTAGGAGTTCCCCAAGCCGGAAGCACAGGCTCTCGCTTCTCTACAAGGACTGGTTGTGGACAGAATCTTCCGACATGCAAATCCGCTTTCCAAGAGGAGCAGTCCTTGAAGGGATTCCGACGAGTACGCACTGCTTGTGTTCTTGTGGATGTTAAACTATGAGGCTTTCTCTGTGGTGAGAGCCAAAGACAGCCTTCGCGCCCTTGGCACAAGTATCTGCCCACTCTGTAGGTGCCATAGGATTTTAGAATAAAATGGGAAATGCCTGGGTTTATCACATCTTGTAAGAGGGAGGGGAAGGATAAAACCCGTCTCCATAACAGGCGTGCTTTCCCCCCAGAAAGCGTGGTTGAATTCATGCCTATGGGCTTTTATTTATTTTGTAATGTACAAACAGAAAGGCTTATGTTATAAAAAAAATTCAATGTCTAGCTTCCCAGAATGGGAGTCCATGAATACGGCTTCTCTGAACAGAGAGCAGTCCTTTGTCTTGATGTCTCCGTCGCCTTCTCTGGCTGCAGTGGGTTCTTCCTTGGCGGGAAGAGGGGGCTCGGCTGGGAAGTACTCCGCAGAGACAGGGACAGCCCGTTGCTTGTTAGCATTATGCTTCATGTAAATGCAGCGGGAAGCATCCATAATCGCCGCACAACTCCTTTGTGAAAAGTCTGCGTGCTCCTAAACTCTGCCACATCTGTTACGTGTCAAACATCCCTCCTGATAATTTTGTGTCGCTTTGCTCCTGCTCTCAGTAGCAGCTGTGCACTGCTAATGACTTCCCTTATTTAGGGAGCTCCGCAAGTGACTGGGTGGTGAAGCCTACGGTTGGAGCAAAACTTGGCACTTCAGCAATCTCGTACTAAGCAAACGGGCGATGCCTAGGTCCGTCGGAAGGGCAGCTGAAGCCGAAGAGAGTTGCTGCGTCCACTGCTAGTTCGCTAACGGCAAATTTAAAGAAAATTAAGAGCTCACAAAAAAACTTGTCAAGGGCATATGGATCTGAGTCAGACATAAATTAATTGGGCTATGAGTGAGTATCACTTGAGGACTGAGTCTTTGTAATCACTTTGTGGGCTGAAAGTTATAAAACAGCAGTAAGACCTATAAGCTTATTGTAAAGATTATGTGTCTGCCTCCCGGCTGTGCACACACCATTCCTTCTGGCCAGAACACTCCTGTGTATACACACACGTATGTGATATATATAAAATAAAGGCATTACTTTGGGGATATCTGTAGAGAGGGGCGGGCATTGCTTTTGGACCCCATACCCAGAACAACGTCTAGAATAAAGGAATGCTTGATGAATTGGCAGATGGAAGCCCCGAGAGCTGCTTTGCCTCCTTCATGTACTTGTTACGAATCACGTCCGGCATGGTTTCTGAAGCGGGGTCTTGGGGAAAACGGAAAGAGTGCTGGGGCTGCGGGTAGAGTAACGCTTTTGTACAGAGCTCTAAGGCCCTCTTGGTGGATGTCGAAAGTGTGCTAACCCCTTGCTGCTTGTTGTCTTCTCTAGGAAGTCCAGCGCTGTACGGCCGATATGAACATCACTGCCGAACATTCCAATCACCCAGACAACAAGCACAAAAACAGATACATCAACATTTTAGCATGTGAGTAATCAACTTCACCATCCACCTCCAGGAAATGGCCTCTTCGGGCTGGGTGTAACCGGAGAGAGGCAGGCGAGCAGAAGCAGGTGCCCACGCTCACCTGGCCTGAGCTCATCCTCATCAGGGTTGAGAAGTAGCAGCCTCTGCAGACTGCGCCCCTTGGCCTTTGAATGAGCTGTCCGAGCTCAGGAAGCCTAATAAGACGTTGTCTAGAGGAGGAGATTCTGAATGACCCTGTTGTCATATGAAGTGACTTCACCTCAGGGGTTCTGAGTCAGAATGACCCTGAAGAGTCAGTGTTGCCAAAGGTCGAACGTCACATGGCTATCTTATACTGGCCAATTGTTTTAGCACTCGTGTATATATAAAACTACTTGGGATTTGATTGAATAATGTGAATTTCAAAGGAATCTTTCGAAATCTAGATCTATACCTTAGATCAGTATTTCCATAAGTAGGTGATATTGCTGCCGGGGGAATGCTGAGGGACCCTTGGGGGCGGCGAAGCAGATGCTTATGGGTGAGAGTACAAACGTTTTTAATTTTATACAATGTGAGGTAAGGACACAATTTCATCTTCCGCATGTGGAACTCTAGTTGTCCCAATACCATTAATTGAAAGAGTATTCTTTTCTGAAAAGGGGTTGGTAGGCCACATCAGTTTGGAAACCTACGTGTTAAACAGTGTACCTCCATCCATTTGACCCAGTCCCAATGCTTCTGACGCCCATCACACTTTGAGGGTCAAGCCAATGAGGGTAAGGAATTAAGCACGTAGAGGCGGTCCTTCCTATTACAGCTTCAGGGAACATCGCAGAGCAGACTCTTCCCTGTGGCTAGAGTTCGACTTCTCATAGCTCTGGAGGACCTGGCCCTCCCAGGCCTGACGGGGAAGATGCTTTAATCTGAAGAACAGGCATAGAGGTTTATGGTCAATATCCACTGAGGAGCACACTGCAGAGTTTTATGCCAGGATACATGAAAATCAGAGGGCTACTATAAATGATTTTTTAAAATAATTTACACAACATACAGAATCCACCAACCTTAATCTTCATTGGCTTTTAATACATTCTCAGAGGTAGCAACCATCAGCACTATCTAAGTACTTTTATCACCCCATCAAGGAATCTTAGGCCCAATAGCTGTCACTCTGCTCTTTCTCCTAGCCTCTGACACCCATTTACCTGCTTTCTACCTCTGGAACTTCCTGTAAGTCGTTACAGGCTGTGGTCCTTTGTGATTGGCGTTTCACTTGGGTTTTTGGGGTCCGTCCGGGTGCCAGCACCTGTCATTCCTCCATTGTTCAGCTGACTGGTGGATAGACTAAATGGATAGACCATACCTTGTGTACTCCTTCATCGCTTGGTGGGTGTTTGGTTGTTTCTCATTTTTGACTGCGAGATATAATGTTGCTGTGACCGTTTGTGCATAACTTTGTGCGGGGACATACTTGTTGGGTCCTGCTGTAACATCACTTAACTTTTTGAGGACCTCGTACTGTTTTCCAAAGCAGTGGCACTGTTTTATGCCTCCATCGGCAGCTATGAAAATTCCCATTTATCCGCACCCTTTTCAGTACTTGGTATTGCAAGCTTAGTTCTAGCCATTCTCTGCAGGGGTGTAGCACTGTGGTTTTAATATCTAATGATGTAGAACACCTTTTCTTGTGCTTATTGTCCATTTGTATATCTTCTTTGAAGAAATAGCTCCTCTAGTCCTTTGCCCATTTTACGTTGTCTTAGTAGTCTTTTTATTGTGAAGGTCTACAAGCCCTTTGTTTTCTGGATAGCAATTCCTTATCAGACACATGATTTTCTTCCATTCGGTGGGCTGCCTTTTCACATTTTTTTTCTTTGAAGCCCAAATGTTAATTTTTGTGATGTCTAACCTATGTTTTGTCTTGTCACGTGTGCTTTTGCTGGCATATCTAAGAAACCACTGCCTGAGCGAAGATCTACTTCTGTGTTTTCTTCTAAGGGTTTAATCATTTAGCTTCTTTCATTGTTTAGCTAGGTCTATTTTTTTGTATGTAATGTAAAGTAAGGATATAATTTAATCTTCTGCATGTGGAAATCTATTTGTCCCAATACCTTTAATTGAAAAGAATATTCTTTCCCCCATTGAAATTTTTGGGCACCCTTATCAAGGATAACCTGACAATACAAGGTTTACTTCTGAATTCTCATGTCTGTTCCATTGATCTGGGTATATGTCCTTGTGTAGAATTACATTGTCTTGATTACTGTAGCTTTGGGATCAATATTTGTAATTTGAAAATATCTGGTTTCTCTTTTTCATGAGTTTTAGTTATTTGAGACCACTTGCATTTTCATGCAAGAGGGTACCTCCTCCTCCCCAAAAGGAAAAAGGCTCCGTTGGGCAGAGTTTTCGTAGGACACATTTTTCCTACTTGGCAAGCATCGATCACCTTGCTCCGAATTAGTGCACCCAGTGATGTCACCTGGGAAGGTTCCCTCTGGTCACAGTGAATTTTTTCATAAAAGCAGTTTTGCTCAAACCGCGTTTTTTTTGTGATGCCCGATTTAAGAGAACGGTGTACGGCTGTGAAATTTTGTTTCCTGCTTGGGAAAAATGCTGCAGGAACTGTTGTGATGTTGAGCACAGCTTATAAGGACAGTGCTTTGGGAAAAACCCATGTGTACAAGTGGTTTTCTCCTTGCAAAAAAGGTGAAATGTTGATCGATGACAAACCTTGTTCTTTACGTCTGTCATCTTCCCGAATGGACAATAATGTCAATAAAATTCATGCAAAATTGTTCTTGGAGGCCCACAATGGACCATTGAAGAGATGGGGAAGTTATCTGGACTAGCTCAGTGAATCTTAACGGAAGATTTGGAAATGAGAAGGGTCCCTGTGGAATTGGTGTCTCAGGGTCTAACTAACCAGCAAGAAGAATCAAGTGGAAACGCTTTGAAAGAATAGCTGCATAGTGATAGACTTTACCCCAATGTCATTACTGGTGATGAGACCTGGTGCTATTCTTAGGACCCCGAAAGCAAACATCAATCAAGCCAGTGGAAGAGGCCATCGTC